AGAAAGCTTGTCCAAACCAATTTGTTATATCTAAAGTCTAAAGAAATCTAAGATGCAAGCGTACGCAAGAAGAACTACTAAGCCAGACTAAGCCCGCCATTCGCCAGAAGTCGAAAGACATGTGATACATTGATAGATATTAACCCCCAAGACATGTGATCCTGATAGCCGTGGATCCGTTTGGATCGGCGGAAAGAAAACCTTCACCAATGGAACCAGAGCACCAGAACGAACGGATTGGATCCGTCCTCCCATCTCAGATGCCGTCAACCTCCGCCGGGCCGGAGCCGCCTTCCGCCCCACGCGGAGTCCTGGCGGAAGGAATTCGTCGGGTGGCCGAAGGCTTCTCACGGTTCCGTGGAGGTCGCATCGGTCCAGATAGGCTCTGGATATGTAACAACTGCATGGAGAAGATCAGGTGCTTTAACGATGTTTCACTACGACTTTCAAGTGTGTTTTCTTCAAGTGTTGAGGTAATTCATTTCAAAGTTGGTGTTCTTTTTGGCTATCAAGTTGGTGTTCTTTTTGGCTATGAAATGCTGTGACCGGGCAGATTCAAAGCTCCAACAGAGTTGGTCAGTTGGTCAATGTTTTGCTTTTCCAGGCAGTACAAGGTTGGAACGAGAGCAGACCATGACATGGAACAGTTCTATCAGGTGACCTCGGAGCCCTTCATGGCTTAAGAAACCCCTAGGCAACTAGAGCCGGGCGACTGCGAGCCCCCCCATGGAAGTTGGCGAATGGACTCGGCTGGAATGCAAAGGTGAGCTGCTACCTGCTCGATGGTTGCACTCCTGCATTCTCTGGGGGGATGAACTGGTGATCTTCGGAGGTAAGGGCGACAGCTACATGGGAGACCTCTGGAGCTTGGATCTAAAAACTCAAATCTGGAAGCAGCTGAAGCCCAAGGGCCACCCCCCAACGCCTCGCTACGGCCACTCGGCCATCCTGTGGAACTCCGGCATGATCCTCTTCGGGGGATACGACGGTGGTCGTTGGCTCTCCGACACGTTCCACTTGGATCTGCGGTCGTTGGAGTGGTCTGAAAAGGTCCCGACCGGCGAGGTGCCTAAAGGACGGGACGAGCATTCAGCGGTGCTTTGGGGCGATGCGATGTTGATGTTTGGTGGAACTGGCGGAGGAGGAGGAAAGTTCTTGAACGATACCTGGACGTGGAACCTCCGCTCTGGATTGTGGCAACAGCTGGTCCCTAAGGGTGACATGCCAGCGGGAAGATGTGCCCACTCTGCAGTGCTGTGCAACGACCGCATGGCGGTCTTCGGTGGACTTGGCAGCGCACTCACCGTCCTTAACGACGTGTGGATGTTCAGTCTAGAAACCCATCGATGGGAGCGCTTCAACTGCGAGGGCCACGTGCCGGAGGGACGCTGCAGACATTGCGCCGTGATGTGCGATGACCACATGGTGGTCTTTGGTGGAGCTGGCCGCAAAAACCACTTCGACACGTGTAGTTTGCACCTAAGAACCGGAGCCTGGACTCTCCATCAAGACAAAGCTGACCATCCACCCGGCCATCGCTTGCACACAGCAGTCCTTTGGAAAGACAATCTGGTCACCTTTGGTGGTGTGGACGCCTCTGGCAATGGTCAGCACAGCACCTGGAGCCGGGAGTTCATCGCCACGTCCGCCGAAGCCATGTTCGCAACCGCCGTCACCCCGCCGTCGCCCACGTCCTCTCTGCGCCACTGCGGCAGCTCGCTGGGACGCGAGGCGCTGCCTCCGACGCCGCGACAGGACACGGAGATCCTGGCGGCCATGCGTGGTGTGGACCTCGCCGAGGTGCTCGAGGCCTGCGCGGCGATGGCGGCGCTACCGGAGAACGCCGGGGTGCCTTGGGCAACGCATGTGTGTGGGTGTTTTTCCCTGTGGCGTGGGATGTTGTCATGCTACAGGGGCGTAGGTAATTGTAGGGACATCTTCTTGGAGACCTGCGAAAGGAACAGCTTCGCCTTCGCAAAGATCACACTGTTCAAAGAGAAGAGACGCTCCTGGACAGCCGTTCATGATCTCTTTAGGGACGCTTCGTGACCTCTTTAGGGACGATTCGTGACCTCGGATCTCAAGGACGGTCACTGGCTGTAGGTCCTGGCTGTAGGTTGTCAATTTAGCCCATTTCTCCTCAGAACATCAGAAATTGACCGCTCAAGCACATCCCAGTCCTCACATTCAGCTGTGTGTAGTAAGTTGTTCCAAGACTTGCTCATTCGACTGCTTCTGGCAGTTTGCATCCCTTTTCGACTGCTCCTGCTAAGATGGTTGTTCCTGGCTCTTTGCACCTGTGACTGTCGTGTTTGCCTCTCCTCTTTTTCGCCCATGAGGTTCAAAAATGGGGCTGTATCAAGCTGACACACTGCACAGACCACGAGACGCTGGCAGCTGATGCGCTGCAGCTCGTGGTGGCAGCGCTCAGGACGCATTGGACCAATCCGCAGGTTCAAGACTGGGCTTCCCGGGCTTTGGCGACTTTATGTGCCTTGGAGGTTGTTTAACAAAGTGTTTGATGAAGTTGGTTGTCCATCCAGTTACTGTATTCCTTTTAGCATGCTTTTTGGCAGCTGGTTTTGCACATGCTCTGTGTGCTTCATGATTGGGTTTCTTGAGTTCGCTGTTCTGTTTGTATGAAGTTCCAGCGCCGTCACAAGAAACATCAAGAGAAAATCGTACTCCCTTCCAGGAGTCACAAGACGGGGTGGTTTCTAGTCCCTGAGTGAGTGGATGTTCTGGGCGCCCCTATTCTCCAAGTTCAGCACCCCTTCTTGTGACTCCTGGTTTCTAGGGACATGCCTTGAAGACAACCTTCCAGCAGTCATAAGACGGGGTGCTATCCATGGAGGTTTGGGGTGCCACTGTCACATCCACTCACTTGGGGACGTTTCACACCACCCCCGTCGAACGTGACTCCTGGTTTAAAACAGACCTTTGGGAAACAAGAACGGTCTGACCTGGGTTTCACTTGCGAGGCTCCGGCATGGACCGCGCCTCTTGCGCGCGGAAGGAGGAGGCCGTGGCCGAGGGAGCCCTGGAGGCTCTGGTGAAGTCCGCCCGGTCTAAAGAAGCCACTTGGCTCAGAAAGTTGGATTTCATCATCCGTGTTCTGCTTTCGGTTGCTATTTAGCCTCAATTTCGATCAAATGTATATGATCAGTGCATGATTCCTTTTTTTTCTGCTTGTCATCCTCCGTTTCTGCTTGACTTGCGAGTCCAGTTGGCTTCGTCAATGTCTTGGCCCAACAAGTGTCGGGTACAGATCCATCTCTCGATCGAAACCGTGCGTAACGGCGTAACCCGTTCGTTCGGACTCAAACCGTTCGTTCGTTCGTTCTGGGAGGGGAGCAGGAGGGAGTGAAAACTCTCCACTCCAACATGAAGAGCTACTCTTTCGGAGGGTTCCAACAGGCAGGTCCACATCGGCTGAAAAAGCGCCTTCCTTTTTGAGAAATCCATCCAATCCGGAAAGAAAAGCTCACGAGACGCTCGGACCTCCTCGGTGGTTTTTCAGGTGACCGTCAAGCGCTCCGCCATCGGCGCCTTGGGCACATTGTGCTGCGGTGAAGACGTGGGTCGTCCGCAGCGGGTGATGCGAGCGCTGGAAGCTCAAGCACTAGAGATCCTGCAGCAGACGCTGAAGACGGACGACTCCTCCAGGACGAATCGCGGCCAGCGGTCCGAAGACCACGGCGGTCCACGGTCGAGGCGGAGACGCAGAAGTGGTCCTCCGGTGTTGGGGCACGGACGGACTCGTGGGCGCGGGAAGCAACGAGGGGGTTTGGGGGGGGGGCCTGAAGCAGACCAAGAGAGGTCACAAGACACACTCAGCTTCTGGGTTGCTAAGAGTCAAAGAATGTTTTGCTGCCTTTGAGAGAGAAGGACTTCGATCGTCGATATACCTAGAACCATCTAGAACCTCTCTTGGCAGACATTTCTGCATGGGTAAAGGCGCCTTCGTCCGTGGGTGTTCTTGCTCCCTATAGGCGTTCTTGTCCCTCTAGACCTCTAGACGTTCTTGTTCTTTTGGTGGCAATGCTCAAATAGATGAGGATCCACCCACCACTGGTTTCAGGAACTTCCATAGTGATGAAGTAGATCACTTTCTGCAATAATAATGAACTTGGGCGGAAACGATTGCCTGACGAGGGTCTAGGTATTCATTCACCAAGGTGGTCGAAGGATGGCTTCAGTAAGCTTTACTGATCGAAGTGGGTTGCGCCAGCCAGGTTTGGAGCATCAGTGGGGTGCTAACTCCTTGTACCCTTGTAACCTATACTATAGCGATGGCCTCCACCCGACTAGCGATGGCCTCGAGATGGTGTTGATCCGAACATCGGACGTTTGCCAGTCCTCGCACCAGGCGTCGACGAGATGGTTTGACGGTCAAATCCAAAGGAGCCGAGCCACCCGGTTCAGGGTCCAACCCCGAACTCCCACAGACCTCCTAAGGGGGGGCGAGGAGATCTTTGACCTCATCGTCTTTCTGGATGGAACTGGACACCTCTCCAACTCCACAGTCTTTGCCATAGATCTCAAGAAATGACCTGTGTTTCGGACGGACGGTTGAAGTGTTTTTTACGTGTTGCACCATCCCAGCCGCATCAGCCCGGTTGGTTTTCTGCTTGGACGACGCTTCTCCATCACCATGCGCTCGGTTGCGGCGAGGACCATCCGGAAGGTCTTCGCTGCTCTGGCGCAGTTGATGGAAGCCGCTCCCGAAGAGGTCTCCAGTGGCGAGACGCTGGAGTTGGTCATCTGGCGGCAGTTGGCACTGCTGTGGGACTGTGGAGTTGGCCCTATTCCTTGGGACTCGAAAACTCAAGGCATTCAAAGGCCCCCCAGTCACCAAGTCCTTCCGTTTGGTGGAAGAGAAGTCCTCCATGAAGTCCTCCACTGCCCCAGAAGCTCCAAAAAAAGACACACGGAGGTGCTGTTTGTAGAATGTTTGGTATATATGTTCCCGACTGACTGAAGTCATCTTAAAACTGACGCAAGGAGGTGTATGCTTCTTATGACACTCAAGTGCCAATGGTTCCCAAACAATTCGCAAGTTCCACAGTCTCTGTGTGTCCCACACACCCCAGGCCGGAATGCTTACATTGATCCCTGAAACCACCCCAATGTAAGTGAATATGCCAGTCCCATGGAGTGTCTGGGTTTTGAGTTGCATGTTCCACGGCGCCTCCAGGTTCCCAAACAGACTCTTTTGTGTGGCATTCGCCGTCGCATGCAAGGTCGAGAAAGCGATGGCCGTTCGACATGACAACCTGGAGATTCAACAGGTTGGTCGTCACATCCAACAGGCCTTGGCACGTGGAGAAGAACCGCCTCTTTCAACTATTGACTGTGCCTGACTCACTGATCATCGCTGTGTGTTCCAGAAAAAACCGGTTCTCACCAATTCTCATCCTTTTTTCCTCCTCATCCTTCAAGCGGACCCAAAACACCGGAAAAAGCACCAAAAAAAAACCAGCAGGTGGCCGTGCCGCGTGACTGCGCCAAAGAGAAGCCCAGCTATTGGTCTGGGCGAGCGACAGACGCGTCGGGCTGGAGCGTTTGCCCCGTGACGGATGCGACCACGTTGCAGCCTGGCGGAGAGATGCGCGTTCGATGCGCGCTTGTTTGTGAGCGAGGTGCGGTGCGATGACATGGTGCGCGGTGCGCTTTTTGATGTGGTTTAATCTTGTTGTTTGTTCCTTTTTTTCCGGAGATGGTCCTGAAGAATGGAAGTTAAAGGGCATGTTTGTGGATTTGGGATGAAGGGCCACATGCGTTCGTTAGTTCCAAGTGGATTTCCCTGTGAGAAGATCTACTCGCTCGGGTGCAGAGCAATGGCGGAGCATCGGCATTTGTTAGATTCCCCAAAGTTGGATGTGTTGGGTTTCATTCAGATGCCACAACTGGCCAAAGAAGAAGTTGATACTTCTTTGATGCATGGAATCGATCGACCATGGTGGAAGATCCATCTGTTCAGAAATACTGACAGAATTGTGCTAACTCTATGTAGGGGGGGTTTATTCATCAGTGCGGAACTTTGCGTCCCTTTATTTCAGGTCCGAGTCCCGGCATATGAATCAGTCCGGTCAAGAAACCACCCAAATTGAATGTGTTTTTAGACACGACACATGGGACTGGCATCATTTACCTATACATTGAAACCTGGTGATCAACCACCCCAAGCGTCTGTATGGATTCAGATGGCAGTCCCATGTGTCGGGTCGTGTCTGGGTGTGTTTTGGGGGGCGCTTCGTCTCGAGGTGCTTCGACCGAGAAAGCGAAGCGTCCGAGACGCCAAGGAATGCGCTGAGAAAGATGTTCCTCGTGGACCACCCCGAGGACCTCGGTAAGGGCAGGGATGCAGACAAGTATTCCTGGGAAGCTCGGCGCTTTTTTCAGATGTCTTATATGGTGACGGGTGTCTGTTTGTTTGTTTATTTTTTTCGGCGGAGAAGATCCCCAGCCACGTGGATTTTTCCTCCCCCAAGTTCGATGAGATGGCTTTGGTGATGTGGTTGTTATGTTCATGCATGATTTTTTCTCGGCTGATGTTTTCCCCCTAGGTCTGGCTTCGATTATGGCAGATATGATAGCTCTTGAATCAGGCTAGAATTAGTTGTGTCTCCGATAACAGAACCCACCTTTGGCAACCCTTTTGGGGGAACAAACATGGACAGATTGCTTGCCACACAAGTCTTCGTGGGTTGGACAGACTCCTTGATCGATCGTTTTTCCTGTATTGGATTGATCTCAAGTTGCGGTGACCTCTGACCCCAAGAGCTTTTGGGGTGTTCTCTTGTCCTGTGCCTGTGTCAGCTTCTGGCAGGTCTGTTTATTCTCAAGCAAATCCAAGGAATACGATAACCTGCAGATCCACTACGCCTGGCGTGTGGAGCATGAAGATTGCTGGGACCTCTATGCCATTGAAAGAGCAAAGACTCAAAAAATGCTCAGACGTCTTCGGCAGCAGGGCGTGCCCATATCACCA